GCTGTGCGTCCTGCGTCATCAACCCGGAACTAAAGTTCGATTTGTGAACCGGCTCGACCGGTTACTTCCTGAGAACCGGCTCAAAAGAACGATTCGTTCAAGAACCTAACATCACTAATTGTTACAGGCATGTAACCTTAAATCCCTTTATCAGTACATAATTTCTCGACGTATATGACTGATAAATAATTAAAAAGTACTCATCAGGCATTGTGCACCACCTTAATACTACACAAGACTTTGTTTTTATTTTCCCTTCTTTATGTTTATTTGTGGAAGCATGGCTTCCTCTAGACTAAGAGCAAGTAAAGACTGTCTTCTTAGAGTCATCTGAGCCTCTTTGTTTGCCCTTCCTTCTGGTTTGCAGACTGTCATCCCCAGTAGACCAGAGACCGAAAGTAGCTTCCCTGACTGGGAAACCTCAGGCACTAATCACTACACCTCACACCAACATTTACAGCAAGACTGAACCATGGAAGTGGACTCCGCAGAAGAATCGACTCCTCCCTCTGATATGGAATTCATCCTAACTATGCTCTCTGGCAAGCCAATGCCATTCACAAGCATGAACAGATTCTTACTGAGATTCTCCAGCTATAAGCGACCAGTCCACATCTCAAGCCTCTCCAGTCATTCCAACCCAGTCTCAAGGCACCCCATCAACTTAATCCACCAGCATGATCCCTTCTCGTAGGAAAGCGTGAGATTGAGCTACGGCTCTCTGGAAGCAACAGTCCCCTCTTACGATCAGTATAGCAAAGATGAGAAAGGTCTTCCACCACCCTGTTAGTGGAGCAGAGGTTTATCAAGTCAAGTCACCTTTACAGTGTCAAAGCAGGAAAATTGTGTGCTGATAATGCAAGAAGATAATAGTAAACACTCAATTTTTCAGTTGAAGTCAGTTCATCATTGATTCAGTGATGCATTGTCCAGCTCAGTTCAGTTCAAATAGTATCTGTGCAATCAATGTTGCCAGAAATTAAGTGTCTCCAACTAAGCAAGCCAAAGGCGACAGTGGCAAGGAACCAAAACTGCATCGGTGACAGAAATGGAGAAAAACCTTGGGATAAACCAGGCTCAGTCGGGGGGCCAGTTCTCTTCTGGCCAGACGAAACCAGCATGGTGTGATTAATTCCAGGCTGCAGCACAAGTCAGATTGTGCAGAGGACTCATCTGGTTCCCGTAGCCTTTGCTGAGGAATTGTGCCAACGGCGAACTAGGTCTTCACAGGGGATCTGTCTCTAGGGCTAGTTGACATGCTCTCCGCTGACATTCAGGGCTGCAGATGTTGTGCTGGTCCACCATCTGATCTGGATACAGACTGGATCTGGTGGCTACGGTGACCTCGGAATAAGAGAGAAACAGACTAATATTAGCGTAGATGCCATTCTTCTTATGATGTAGCGAGTACATCGGGTGTTATGGGAAGTGTTCCCGATTCCGGTTGTCCTAATTAATGCAGCCTAAAAATCCTTTAAAGGATAAAAATGTGATAGTGTGTTATGTGTAAACCAGGTTAAAGAAATGGGTCTTTAATCTAGATTAGGTAGATTAACGTTAGGTAGATTGTTCCAGAGTTTGGGCGCTAAATAGGAAAATGATCTGCCGCCTGCAGTTGATTTTGATATTCTAGCTATTATCAAATGCCCAGAGTTTTGAGATTGCAGCGGACGTGAAGGACTATAATGGGTAACACTTTATAATAACTTTCATTAATAAATCATTAACACAAATTACACAATGCTTAACAAATCATTAGTTAATATATATTCTCATAGCTAGAAATATGAGATAATGTGCTTGTCCATGTTTACTAATGAATGTATTAAACATTAAATAATGATCTGTTAATCAATCAAGATGTAATGTAAATTAAAATGCGTACAAATGACAGTTTGTAAGTGGTATGGCTACTGAGGTGTGATAGGGATGAGGTTAGATACAGGTTTGGTGGTATGGGTAGGTTTAAGGGTTGGTTAAGTGGTCAACAGTGTACAGGGGTCAATTTGATTACTATAAGGGGACACGGTTCAATCTGTTTATATCACATTGATTTAATAAATGAACAAGTATTTTCTTAAAATGTATTTGTTCTCTCCTGTTGATGTTTGAATCAAGGAATATCCTCTATTTAAGGATATAGTATCTGAGTGTTGAGGCAACAAAAACTTGTTTTGCACCCAATTTAAAATTATTTGTTGTTATGTCTGTCGCAAACATATGTGACCCTGGAGCACAAAACCAGCCTTAAGTGTCAATTTTTGGAAATTGAGATTTATGCATCATCCGAAAGCTGAATAAATAAGCTCTCCATTGATGTATGGTTTGTTACGATAGGACAATATTTGGTTGAGATACAACTATTTGAAAACCTGGAATCTGAGGGTGAAAAAAAATCTAAATATTGAGAAAATCATCTTTAAAGTTGTCCAAATGAAGTTCTTAGCAATGCATATTACTAACCAAAAATTAAGTTTTGATATATTTACAGTAGGAAATTTACTAAATATCTTCACGGAACATGATCTTTACTTAATATCCTAATGATTTTTGGTATAAAAGAAAAATCGATAATTTTGACCCATGCAATGTATTTTTGGCTATTGCTACAAATATACCCCAGCGACTTGAGACTGCTTTTGTGCTCCAGGGTCACATTTGGCTAAACTTAACTAACCACCCTTTACACAGTCATTGTTACACTAGTTAAAAAGTACTAAATGATTAATAGTAAAAGTTTATAAATATTTAAAATGATGAACAGTTTCCACTTTAGACTGGGTACTGCAAAAACATGAACAAATAATTAATAAATGATTAGTAAAGACCAGTGTTGGGGAAAGTTACTTTTAAAAGTAATGCATTACAATATTGCGTTACTTATTTGAAAAAGTAACTCAGATATTCTCTTGTAAATTAAAAAGTAATGTGTTACTTTACTAGTTACTTGAAAAAGTAATCTGATTACGTAACTTGCGTTACTTGTAATGTATTACCCCCAACACTGATAAAGATGTGTAAACAGGGTGAATTCAGGTCATTTGGGACTCTTTTTTCCATTGAGATGACACAGAAAATGTGTCTTAATATGTACTAAATGATTAGTAAACGTTTAGAAACATTTACAAATAATTAATAGTTTTAAACTTTAGATTGAGGACTGCAAAAACATGAACAAATAATTAAGAAATGTTATATATATATGTTTTTTCTTTTTTCTTTTCTGGTACGTTTTAGTCCAGATTAAAATGTGATATGTAGGCCTCCAGACTACTCCGAAGTAAACAGATGCATATCAACAGCGGAACAAGGCTTGGTTCGTAAATTCACATCAATGAATGTAAAATGTGACTGATAGCCCAATAATACAATATGACAATAGTATTTATGATTTTTCAACATAAATATTATATATCATAATTATACATCAATTGTAAAAATTCGAAACTACCGGTACTACTACAAATATGAATAGCTATAATAATAACAACTAGAGAGAGAGAGAGAGATAGAAAGCAACCTAAAATATCAAATACAAATTATTATAGAAAGAAGAAGGAGAAGAAGAAGAAAGGTCCCAATATATTAGATTATATTAGAAAATATTATATCAATTTTAACACGAAGCTCCCCAAAGTAGAGCTTTATTAGCTGAGGAATGTAAAATGTACTAATAATTGAAAATTAAATTAATGATAAACATATATTTTCTTTTGTAGGATCTTAAATCACAGTACCCTAAAATAATGTTTGTCAGATTAATTGAGACGCCTGACAGAATGCAATAATAATAATAATAATAATATAAATGATTGCATAAAAGTCATGATGTATGTATGATGTAATGACTACGAAAGATTTTGGTATGACCTTCAGGATTACACTCTATGATGTCTACATATATGCCTTATACATTTTGTCATTAAAACATGTTTTAACCATATGTTTGCCTCAGAGAAATATCATTTTGGACAACAATATCACATAACACGCAGTGAATAATTGCACTAAACAACAGTGCTGTTTAAAACGAAAGCGGAACGTCGTATTCTGTTCAGGCGCTCTGCGAGCTGCTATGAGGAAAATGTACTAATAATTGAAAATTAAATTAATGATAAACATATATTTTCTTTTGTAGGATCTTAAATCACAGTACCCTAAAATAATGTTTGTCAGATTAATTGAGACGCCTGACAGAATGCAATAATAATAATAATAATAATATAAATGATTGCATAAAAGTCATGATGTATGTATGATGTAATGACTACGAAAGATTTTGGTATGACCTTCAGGATTACACTCTATGATGTCTACATATATGCCTTATACATTTTGTCATTAAAAAATGTTTTAACCATATGTTTGCCTCAGAGAAATATCATTTTGGACAACAATATCACATAACACGCAGTTAATAATTGCACTAAACAACAGTGCTGTTTAAAACGAAAGCGGAACGTCGTATTCTGTTCAGGCGCTCTGCGAGCTGCTATGAGGTCCTTCTGGACGCCATGCGGTGTTGGATAATTCTAGAAGAGCGTCGGTGAGACTTCGTTGCAAGCGCTGCTGACAGCACAGGGCCTGAGTTTGACCCACCACAGCTCACTTACGTGACATTCAGCTGCTCTGCACAGATCTCTTACTCAGCGTTCATCCGAATTTAGCCATTAAACAAGTCGAAGATGTTGTCCGCGGCGAGAACGAGTGTGTCGCGCTCTCAGAAGTCCTGCAGCAGTGTGTCGGATCTCATCAAGAAGGTGAGCGACTGCTACTGAGTGCCCTTAAAGACTCCTCAGCAGCAGGGGTGCTGGTTCATGCCTTCATATAACGTTAGTGATCTAGAATGTAGTTTGCAGTGGGTTTTGTGATGGGTTCTGTTGTGTGTGTGTCAATGAGGTTCGGCTGAAATTAGTTTACTAGCACTACACATCATATAAGTTACATACAATCTGTCAAAATCACAAAAACTGTGTGAAGAGAAGCTTTAAACGAATTATCTGCGCCTTGTGTTTGGAAAGGCCCGACCGCTCGCGTGATTAACCTGCTCTGCGACTGAATTCATGTACGTGGTTTAAGACATGTGATGGTTCATAATAAAGATCAGTCGTTATGTATCATCTAGACAGTGTTTGTAACGTGTAAAGAGCAGTGCAGTCCATTCTCTGGTGTGTGTGGGGTTTAGGAAGAGTGTGTTTGACCTTCATCAAGTGTCCTGAAGCATCGAGGAGCTTCCCTTCATCCGTGTGCTTTATACACACACACACACACACTCACACTCCCACACACACACACACACACACACACACAGCTTATTTTTCCCACCCTTTATGCAATTCTGTATCGTTCCAGTATGTGTGCAGTGATGTTGCCATTATATTAGACAGGTATTGCAGTCCACGTGGTTCTCTTTGCATCAACATGGCATTAAACCACATGGTCAGACTTAACTCTATAGAGTTCTGGCTCTTCGCACAATCTGATGTGACTCATTGCACACCAACCCCTTATTATTTATTATTTTCAATCGATGTTATACTCTAGTGCCAGTTTTCTAAATGAGCCGCTTGTATGTTTTTTTCCTCAGGCTTGTTGGAGTGGATTGACTCGGCAGACCCTCCAGACTGCAGCCAGACGTCATTATGCGTGAGTATTAGCGGGTTTAAGAGCATCCCGTGATCGCTGAAGGTCCGTGAGCGAGTGTCTGAGCTGCTGATGGTGTTTCAGGTCGGAGGCGATCAGAGGCGCTGTCGTCGGCATTGATCTGGGAACCACCAACTCCTGCGTGGCTGTGATGGAGGGGAAACAAGCAAAGGTGAGCTGCAGCTTGCTCACATTCAGTGGTTGAAGATTAGACCTGGCGACCAGGTGGTAGAATGAGCTGTCACCGATGTGTCCTTGATCAGATGTTTAATGTTAACCGTAACATAAAATATTCAGAATTGTGTAAAACAAATCTGTTCTCATGGATCCTGTCAGTAAAGAGGCTAAAAGGCCAGACTAAAGTTTTCTACTTTACACATCTGGATTCATCATAATTGAGTATATACGCCATATTTACTGAAGCTGTACATATAGACACACTATGTCTTCAATATCATACTCTTGAGACATGGGACACACAACTGGACCCGCCTGCCGTTTTGAAAATTGCAACATTTCACATTTATGAATGAGAACAAACCTGAATGAACCTTCAGCCACTAGGAAGAATCATTCAGGTCACCTCTATTTCTAAAGTGTCTTAAAGCAGCTTCACACTGATAAACGGTAAAATAGCAGAATATTTTATGGAAACTCATAGGGCTGCATGATAAAATGTATTTTAATTCACTTTTTATACTGAAAATTTCCATTTGCTTTTATGGTTGCAGTTGCCAGATTTCATTAGTTTAAAATCCCCCAATCAGAGCTTTGCTCTTAAATCAATAGATTTTCTGCCCAGTGGTTTACGTAATCTTCCCAACCTGGCAACCATACACACATACTCACACACGCACACACACACACAAACACACACTCACACACTCTCTCACACACACACTCAAACGCACACACACACTCTCTCTCACACACACACTCACACACACACACACACACACACACACACTCAAACACACTCAAACACACACACTCAAACACACGCACACACACACCATTCATCATTCTTTTGATTTGTGATTTTTTGAAAATGCTTAAATTCTGAAGAAATGTAAAAGAAAATTTAAAATGACACTAATCTTGATTTAAGAGCTTAACCATTGTCATGCAGCCCTAGAAACCCAATTATTGGATGTATTCAGATTCTGCTGTTAAAGCATCTCTAAAAAGACAACAGTGTTATTATTCACCTATTATATCAGTTTTGAACAGATTTCAGTTCAGTTGTAAGTAGGGCTGGGACAATAATTCGATGCATCGCGAATCGAGAAATGATTCTGCATGGATTCTGAGATTTTCCGAAGGCATCGCGATTCTCTCTCTAATAGATTCGGAGCTTAGTTTTTAAGAGCAGATGGCACTGCGTGCTTTAGAAACAGTCGTATTCTGCTTGCTTCCAGTTCCTTACACACTTGCACCTAAAATAATCATTCAGAAAGTTCGAAAAGGTTAGAGCGAATTACAAGGATGTTCACAGTGGGCTGTGTTTACATTAATCTTGCATCATAAAAGCCGATGTGCAAGAACATTTAACCACTTGCATTACTCAGCCGAACGCACAAGCGCTCTTCTTCGTGAGCATTTGAGTGTGTGGCTAAAAACTAGCCTAGAGCGCCATCTGCTGTTAAAAACTAAGCTCAGAATCACGATGCATTCCGAAAATCTCAGAATCGATCCACGAATCGTGATGCATCGATTTATTGTCCCAGCCCTAGTTGTAAGCCATCACTACTACTGTGCTTAACTCGCATTTAGTGAGAACGCTGTTGAGTTGAGTTGTGATGTAACAGGTGCTGGAGAACGCAGAGGGAGCGAGGACGACGCCGTCAGTGGTGGCCTTCACAGCTGATGCAGAGAGGCTCGTGGGCATGCCGGCCAAACGCCAGGCTGTCACCAACCCCAACAACACGCTCTATGCTACTAAACGCCTGATCGGACGCCGCTATGATGACGCTGAAGTTCAGAAAGATTTGTAAGACATCTGATTGCAAAATTCCAGCCCCTTTATATATTTAAGTGTTATATAGGTTTTATTTAAGTGATGATCTTTGCTGTGATTGACAGGAAAAATGTGCCCTATAAGATCGTGCGTGCGTCTAACGGAGACGCCTGGCTGGAAGCCCACGGTAAACTGTACTCTCCCAGTCAGGCTGGAGCTTTTATCCTCATGAAGATGAAGGAGACCGCAGGTCAGTCCGTCTGCATGAAGAAGATACATTCAAAACAAATGATTAGGGGTCGACAATATGACCAAAGTCTTGTATCACGATACGAGTCATTTTATATATATATATAAAACTATGTATTTCACGATATAGTTATGTTTTGCTTTAAATAAGGTCTTTGTGATACAATGTCATAATTAGGGCTGGACGATACGGCCAAAATTGATATCACAATATATTTCTTAATTTCGGTCGATACGATATAATTCCGATATCGATATGAACACTATTTATCTGAAATAGCAATCTTTTGTAACATTATAAATGCCTTTATCATCACTTTTGATCAATTTTAAGCATCC